TAACTCAATGTGCCCATGAGATGACATTACAAAGTAACACTATGTATTCATCCAGGAACATCACACAGACAAATAGGGATAGACAGTGTTTCTAATGGAAATCTAAAATAAAATGTACAGTACACACTGTTTTAAATGAGTATAGTGTACATTTACACTTGTTTTCATCAGCAAAATGTACAAAATGTACGGTGTTTAAGTTCTATATAATAAAAAGAAATGTAAAAAACATCTTCATATCTGATTTTTCCAGTACAAAAAGAGAATAATAATAAATAAGCAAATAAATAGCAAGGAAAAAAGCAATCTGTGTGTGATTCATTTAGGAAGATTCACCACACAAAAGTACAACATTAGAAGAGCACATAATCATAAGAACCTTGATTTACTGTTTTTCAAAATCCTAAATAACCACAAGACCTATCAAAAACTCTCATGGTCCTCTTTATCATCATGAATGTTAGTATGATTTGAAGAAAACTAACTTGAATACTGCAGTTTTTAATTGCTTCTGCAGCTATCACATCAGTACCGGAAACGAATTGATGTAAAACTGGAAAAAAATACAAAATCAGACAAAGGATGCCATTCAAGGAATGGTAGAAAAAATAAAAAATAAACCAGTATCTAATCATTGTTCAAATATAATTTTTGAACTGAAAATAGACATTTAGAATCTCACCAGCAAAGTGTACATTGTATACTCTGCTTTTTAAGTCAAGTGCACAGCAGTGTATATTTTCACAGTTGCAAATATTTGTACATTTTGCTTCTGCTGCGTACACTTGCCATTAGAAACACTGGCGATAGGTCATTTTATGTAACGACACTTGATTAATACTTAACATTAACCCATTCACGGGTGGTGGTATACATATGTACCACTTTTTTGGATTTTTGATCACAGACCTATAATACAAATTAGAAACAATGACTTCGGTAGAAAGAACGATAATACTGCATAGATGGAATTTATTTCTGGTTATTCGAATTTAAATTTACGTTACATGATAAAGAAAATGACGTCATGTGTTTTTTCCAACTGCGCCATAAACATCGATAGAACTTGGCTAGCGAAAATTCGCCTGTGGAAGGGTTAAGTGCTAATTAATAGCATTTAAACTTAACTCTAAATTAATCTAAATGATTCATTCCTACAGACAAATATATATGAGTGAATTGCATGCTGGGTGGGTGTGGATGTGGGTGGGTGTGGGTGTGGGTGTGGGTGTGGGTGATGGTGTGCGTGTGGGTGTGGGTATGAGTGTGGGGTACGGATGTAGGTGTGGCCCACAGGGTGTGGGTGTGGTTGTGGGTGGTCATGTTTACTCAACCCACACCCACATCCGATTTTCTCGACAAAAACTAAACATTTCAAGAAATTTTTATTGTTACAAGACAATTGTACAGTAAATTAAATACGATAGTCAGAGCCACTTTCGAGAACTCTATCAAACTAATTATCCTTTACGGAATTGTTTCTTCGTCAATACTGAATTCCAATAGGCCAGGGAAAATTTTTCTTAATACCGTTGTGATGAGTCACATATAACTTTTTGAGAGAAAATGATATTCTCCATAATATTTGTTGTTTCTGTTTTGCATGATATCTTTCTGACGACATTCATTTTTTCAGTGTCATTGAATAATGCTGATTGAGTTAGGGTTGAGTTGAAACCTTAGGTTTTTGTACGGATAAGACTGAAGTTTTTGTTTAATTTTGTACATTCTGATTTGAACATATACGTATATGATTACATTTAATTGAACATTAGTCAGACAAAACTTATGGATTTTTTTGTGTATTTTTAGAAAATTCTCTGTGGATCAAAGCAATGCTTATGTTAAGATTTCTTTGTAACAGATCTAAATCTGTTGAGTTTAGTAGACAAAAAAGATGTTCGAATCATAAATATTTTATATGATTTAGGTTGCTTGTTAACTGCGTTAAAGATCAGACAAAAAAACCATATACTTTTCTAATTGTTACTGTACTACAAGGGTGAGTGGGGGGTGTGAGTGTGGGTGTGGGTGTGGGTGGGTGTGGGTGTGTGGTGTGAGGGTGGGTGTGGATGTGGGTGTGGGTGTGGGTGGGCGTGGGTGTGGGTGCGGGTGTGAGTGTGGGTGTGGGTGTGAATGTGGGTGTGGGTGTGAATGTGAGTGTGGGTCTGTGTATCGGTCTTCCCTCAAACCACACCCACACTTACACCCCACAGCCACAGCCACGCACATATCCACAGCCACAGCCACAGCCACAGCCACAGCCACAGCCACAGCCACAGCCACAGCCACACCCACCCACACCCACCCACACCCACAACCCCCACCCCCCACCCCACACACCCACACCCACACCCACCCACACCC